GAGACAGGGTTTCACTGTGTTGTTGAGGCTGGTCTCAAACTCCTGGCCTCAGGCAGTCCTCCTGCCTCAGCCTACCAAAGTGCTTGAATTACAGGCAAGAGGATTGTTTGAGCCGAGGAGTTCAAGACTAGTCTAGGCAACATAGACCTCATCTCTACAAAAGAATAAACAAATTAGCAGGCGCATGCCTATAGTGGTGCATGCCTATTGTCCCAGCTCCTCAGGAGACTGAGGTGGGAGGGTTGCCTACCCAGGAGGACTATCTATGGTGAGCCATGACAGTGCTACTGCACTCTATCCTGGGCAATGGAGCGAGACCCAAACTCAAAAAAAGAAAAACAGTAACATTAGTAGTCATCAGTATTAGTCTTCTGTTAGACATATTGTTAGGTGCCTCACAACAACCCCATTAGATTTTGCAGATGAAACAGATTCAAAAGGATGAAAGAATTTGATTTTCCCAAGGACACAGCTTATATATTCAAACTTACTCTGTCTGACTCAAAGCTGTGGTCTTTGTTTTTCAATAAAAAGAAGCATTCAAGATAGATGAAATAGTACTTTTCAGTACTTACTTATACAACATCTAGAGTATTGTTTTATATTTTGTACCATTTAAAGGAAATATTGACATCATTAAATACTTCTAGAAAAGGATGGTCTCAGGAGTGAGGGATCTGAAAAGATTATCTGAGAAGATAATTTCAGAGAGACAGTAGAGAGCACTAAAGGTAATTTGGAGAGGAAACATACTTTGTGTGGCTACAGTAGTGGGAAAAAACAGGGCTAGAGAATAGAAGTTATGAGGAAGTAGATTTAGGTTGGATTAAAGACAGGATTTCTAAAAATAGAGTGCCTTTTTCGAAATTGAGGGCCTGTTCAAATAGTATTACTGATGACAATTTGGCAAGCATTTTACATTTCACAAGGAACATTTAAACATATTTGTAATTTAATTACGACTCTAGGGTGGGTGGTAATATTATTGCTGTTTTTCCAAATGAAGATATTAAGAGATTTTGATTTGTCCAAGATACCCTATAGCATATTATTGGTAGAACTGAGTGTGATCCCAAGTCTGCTGACTCAAGATCTCATGCTGTCTCCACTTCAAAAGTCAGATGACCATGTATCATAAATGCTATAGAGGAAATACCTATATTTGAGGAGGAAGTTAGACTGTACAATTGTCAAGTTCTTCTCTTACTTTGAAAATGTTTGATTTTCTGAAAACTGAAATTTGACCTTATTTGCTTGTTCACTACTTCTTTGAAGACTTTTTCCAGCCTATTTTCTAACAAAATGTTTGTCTTTAAATTTTTTTTTTCCCCTGTATTATCTAGTAGTTTCTAGAAAATTTTGTTCTGTCTCTTTATATTCCAGTCTATTGCAAGAGCAAGTCTATACTTGCTCTTTTTTTTTTGAGTTGGAGTCTCACTCTGTCACCCAGACTAGAGTGCAGTGGCCACTCCCGGCCACTGCAGCCTCAACCTGCTGGGCTCTGGCGATCCTTCCGCCTCAGCCTTCCAAGTAGCCGGAACTACAGGCGTGCACTATCACACCCGGCTAGTTTTTGATTTATTGTAGAAGCGAGGTCTCGCCAAGTTGCCCGGGTGGGTCTCGAACCCGCAGGCTCAGGCAATCCACTTGCCTCGGCCTCCCAAAGTACTGGAATTACAGGCTGAGCCACCAAGCCTGGCCTATACTTGCTTTTATTCAATGAACTCTTATTCTGCATTTTCAGGAAACCAAAAATCCTTATAAATCAATTCCCCTTTCTTTACTTCCTCTCTTGACTGCCCTTCTTTCTATTTAGTTTTCCTCCTGAGGACATCAATTCTTTCTAATTCAATTCCATTATTTCCAATTATATGCTACCTTCATCTTTATCAACAATATCTGCTGATGGTCACTACCTTATCATCAATACCATGTCTATGTTCTTGGCACTGTTCTTTCCCCTCTGATCATATTTTGCTCACTTGTAAGACCTCCTATATTTCTGTATGGTTTGAATCTTTGTTTTCACTCTTAACTTTTTTTTATGAGACTTTATGTTTTTAGAGCTAGTTCTCAGCAATATTGAGTGGAAGGTCCAGAGATTTTCCTGTATACCCCCATCCCAATACATGCATAGCCTCCCTTATTATCAACAATACCCAACAGTGGTACATTTGTTAGAATTAATGAATCTACATTGACATATCAATATAATCTAAAGTCCATAGTTGACAGTAGGATTCATTCATTCTTTCTTTCTTTTTCTTTTTCTTCTTTTTTTTTTGAGTAGGAGTCTCACTCTGTTGCCCAGGCTGGAGTACAGTGTCACTCTCACGGCCACTGCAGTCTCAATCTGCTATGCTGAGGCAATCTTTCTGCTTCAGCCTTCCAAGTAGCTGGAACTACAGGCATGTGCCTGGCTAATTTTTTGATTCGTTGAGGAGACAAGGTCTTGCCAAGTTGCCCAGGCTGGTCTTGAACCCCTGGACTCAGGCAATCCTCTCACCTCTACCTTCCAAAGTGCTGGGATTATAGGCATGAGCCACCGCACCTGGCTAGGATTCATTCTCCTTATGCATTCAGTGGGTTTGGACAAAGTTTAATGTTCTACCGTTATAGTATCATACAGTTTCATTGTCCTAAAATCCTCTTGTGTTTTGCCTATCTATCTGTCTCTCCCCCATGACCTCCAGTAGCCTCTTATTTTTTTACTGTTTCCATGGTGTGCCTTTTTTTCTTTAATCACACATATCTTCTCTAGTAGGATTGTCCAACATCCATCTTCTGATAGCACTAACTAAGTTAATCAAACCAGAACTTCACTGTTAATTAGTTCATTGTTAATACTTCTTTCCCTTTCTTTTATATCTTGGCTAGTAGATTAGAAATTACGTTACAAAGAATATATGGTAATCCTTTGATGGCTCCAGAAAGATGAAAAACACTCTTCAGTCCTTCCTCTATTAATCCCCAAGACCGAGGGCTTGGTTTTCCTCTCTTTCTGTGTTCTTTCTATCTGGACTCAACCCATCCTCAAAACATACTTTCCGGCTATCTGTTCACTACACTTCATCCATATTGTCTACATTTCTCCTCCCAAGTTAGAATCAGTTTCTCCTCTGCTCCCAATGTGTTATTTGTACCTCAGTTGAGCTTTTAGGGCATTTTTCTTTGCTGTGCAGTTGTTTAAGGCCAACAAAAGCCCCTTTGGGTATAGTCATGTGTTTTAGTCACAACTCTTATTCCCTGTGCTTAACACAGTGCCTTTCCCTTGGCAGGAGCTCAGTAAACACTGAATACATTGAAATCTATGAGCAGTCAAGCCTTGTCTATTTCCAGAGCCTTTTCAACTTCTCATCTTTCTGCGTTTCCTCCCCCACTTTAACCTTTAAGGTAATTGAGTACCATTCTTCTCATACAGTTCTTGCTCAATCTTCAATGATTTTTCTTTTGTTCATGGGATAAAGTCCACTTGTTACCTTGGCATTCAGTTCAAGACTCACAAATTAGTCTGTATACCTTGGCATCCTAATTTCTCACCGTTGCCCTAATATAAAACCTTTTATACCAGGCTGGGTGATCACTATTCCTGAATATTTTATCTCTATTCTTTTGTTATTGCTCGCCCTTATGTCTTTGCTACCCTTTCTTTTCTAGTTTTTGCATTCTGCCTGACCTTCAAGATGTCTTCTCTAAACATTCCAATCTTTTAACTTTTAGTAAATAAGTGTATATTTCTATGAGTCTTCCTGGTTGATTTGGGTTATTATTTAGCCTTTTGTAGTTACATGGACTTAGTCTCCCTTATTAAATTGGCAATAATTATTGTTAGATCAGGAGTCAAAAATGAACTTTCTACTTTGAGATCTGTTACCAATTTTCTATTTGGACTTGGATAGTTCATTTATTGAGTTTTTCATATTATACATCTATCTATAAAACAAAAGGTTGAAATGAGTTTCTTAATTCTTCTGTGTTTTTACTAAAAAAGAAAAAAGGGAAAACACTCCCAGTTAAATTTTAAAGATAGATAAAGATTTTTTACATGTAAAATATATAATTTGTTGTGAGAAGTGCTATGGTGAAAAATAAAGCAGGAAAAAGAGGGATGGAGGATCTTTCCCTTTTAAACAGATCTGTAGAGAAGCCTCACAGAGGTGACATTTGAGTAAAGACCTGAGGAAAGTGTAGGAGCCAATGCCTGGGAGAAGAGCACTCCAGGCAAAGGGAACAACCTATACAAAGGCCCTGAGGTAGAATGTGCCTATGTTTTTGAAAAAATGGCAGAGTTCACTGTGTATATGCAAAATGATTAAGTGGAAGAGTAGTTGGAGAGCAAGTCAGAGAGGTCATTGAGGAGGGGTCTGTTTTAGGGCTGAATGAGTCATTGGAAAGACACTGTTTTTTGGGGGGTTTTTTTGAGTTGGAGTCTCACTCTGTTGCCCACTGTTTTTTTTTTTGGTTTTTTTTAGTTGGAGTCTCACTCTGTCGCCCAGACTGGAGTACAGTGGCCGCTCCCGGCCACCGCAGCCTCGACCTGCTGGGCTCCGGCAATCCTTCTGCCTCAGCCTTCCGAGTAGCTGGAATTATAGGCGCGCGCTACCACGCCCAGCTAATTTTTTGATTTATTGTAGAGATGAGGTCTTGCTGCCCAGGCGGGTCTCGAACCCACGGGCTCAGGCAATCCACTCGCCTCAGCCTCCCAAAGCACTGGGATTACAGGCTGAGCCACCAAGCCTGGCAAGACACTGTTTTTTGTTAACTCCTTGATATTTCCTATGGCATACCTTACCTAGAGATATAATTCAATTATTGTAATATGTAACCATAATGCATCCAGGAATTAGGTACTTTTAACTGAATTTCAAGAATTTTATACTATTCTTCACTTTGAAGAGGTATAATAATAACTCAAGAATACACCAAAGATGAGAGTTGACTACCTATATTGAGTCTTTTGCTAGAGTTTATAACTTAATTTTTTTTTTCTTTTACCATAGGTAAATTAACATGATGGATTTTTCCAAGCTACCCAAAATACTTGATGAAGATAAAGAAAGCACATTTGGTTACGTGCATGGAGTTTCAGGTCCTGGTAAGTAATATGTTATAATCTCAAGAGTAAGGATTCCTAACTCTGATGAATGTCTTCAAAGTATTTTAGGTAGAAATATACAAGTTTCTGTTTACCTGTATAAATCCTTTTGGTCCTTAAGAGATTTCATAGTGGCTATAAGACTTAAGTAATATTGTTATCATAAGAACTCATCTAGCATTGATTATATAGATTTGATAATTATTGAGAGGCTACTTTGCAATCTCCTTTATATTTATGTTAAGTAAATGTATGACCAGTGTTTAGAGTTTTACCTATATGTCTTAATATTTTTTGTTAAATATAAAGTTAAAAACTATGAAGTTTATAGCCTTTAATAGGTAATACCTTGCATTTAATAGGCATTCAATTTGTTTGAACTTTAATAATTGTCTTCAGAGCATGTCTCAGAAATGTCAACTTTTATTTTTTGCCTTTATACATGTTTCTGAATGGTTATTTCAGGTGTTACATAACTAGCTACCTGTGGGAAAGAAGTCTTATGGTCTGATACTGATATTGGAAACCAATTTTAAACTTTATGTTCTTTCTCCCAAAATTTGGGGTATTGCTTTTTAAATAGTAAATCTCATTCCAGTATTCATTTTATTATTGAACACTCCCACTACAAAAAGTGATTGTTTCCCTAAGTAAAACCTGCTCATTGATTTATTAACCTTAGTGCCATGGAAATTCATTTTTTCTTTTTTTTTTTTATTTTTTAAATAAACCTTATGCTTTAATCTTTTTCTTGTCTAGCCGTAGTGGAGGTGATAATATTTTTTTGGTATTTATGAAAATGAGAACTTTCAGTTACTTTTTTCTCCCCATAACTTGATGTGTGAACTTGAACTCATTGGCAAATAATAAAAAGGTTATATAATTCACTGTTTTTAATCTCTTTCGCCATGAAGAGAAACAGTTATTTCTTCAATGATCATAAGGGTCTTTAGGATAGATAGGCTAAACCCAGTAACTTTCAGAGAAAAAGCAAGAACGACATCAAAGAATTTAGGTAGAAATACCCTGCAAAATATGTAGTGAACTGCTCCTGTAACCAATTTTTAATTCTTATGTACTTAATAAGATAATAGAGAAATGACATCCTTTTTGACTTGTCAATATGATTTTAAAATGTCATTATCTCTGGCATTTCAGTGTATCTTAATTGTTCTTAAATAGTAGGTATAGAGGTAAATATTTATGGAATGAATAAATCTTCATTGTTCTAACACAGGTTAACTAAATATTAATACTTTAGTAGTTTCCACTGAATTATTACCTATTACATAGTTCTAGTCAGTTGTATCAGAAGGCTAAATATGAAAAATAGATTTAGGTCAGGCACGATGGCTCAAGTCTATAACCCCAGCACTTTGGGAAGCTGAGGCAGGAGGATTGCTTGAGTCCAGGTGTTCAAGACCAGCCTAAGCAACATTGAAAGACCCTGTCTCCACACACAAAAAATTAAAAAATTAGCAGGGTACAGTGGCACATGCCTGCTACTCTGGAGGCTGAGACAGAAGGAACCCCTGAGCCTAGAAGGTCAAGGCTGCAGTGATCTATGATCTTGCCACTGCACTCTGGCCTGGGCAACAGAGTGAAACCTCAAATTAAAAAAAAAAATTTTTTTAAAGACTTATTCTTACATATATCTAAAAATGTGGCCATCTTCTTTCCCTGCCAGAAAAGTAATTTTTGCTTGCTAGACAACATGGTCCAAAATATTAAATTCAAATACTGTTTCAGAATTTATATAAGGATTCTTAGGATGTTACCCATTGTTACCCAGTGGTGGTGACTGATTATAAACATCCTTATGGTCTATGAAAAAATTTTCATAGAAACTTTTTTTTTTTTTGGAGTTGGAGTCTCACGCCATCGCCTAGGCTAGAGAGAGTGCAGTGGCACGCTCACGGCCACTCCAGTGTTGACCTGCTGAGCTCCTGTGACCCTTCTGCCTCAGTCTTCCAAGTAGCAGGAACTACAGGCACTCACTACCACGCCTGGCTAATTTTTTTATTTATTGTAGAGACGAGGTCTCACCATGTTGCCCAGGCTGGTCTCAAACCCATGGGCTCAGGCAATCCTCTTGCCTCGACCTTGCAAAGTGCTGGGATTACAGGCTTAAGCCACCATGCCCGGCCTCATAGAAACTCTTTTGATGCATATGTAGATGCATGTGTAAGTTCTTCTAGGTAGAGCTATCATTAATTTATCAGTATTTCCATGTACCAGAATAATTTTTTTTTTTTGAGTTGGTGTCTCACTCTGTCACCCAGGCTAGAGTGCAGTGGTATGCTCACGGCCACTGCAGCCTCGACCTGCTGTGCTCCTGTGATCCTTCCGCCTCAGCCTTCCAAATAGCTGGAACCACAGGTGTGCGTCACCATGCCCAGCTAGATTTTTTATTTATTGTAGAGATGAGGTCTCGCCATGTTGCCCAGGTTGGTCTTGAACCCGTGGGCTCAGGCATTCCTCTTGCCTCAGCCTTCCAAAGTGTTGGAATTACAGGCATGAGGCACCATGCCTGGCTCAGAATAATTTTTAAAAATATGAGTATAGATTATTAGAAAGTAATAATATTTCTCTTGGTATTATCTCTCGTGGTAACAGCATAGCAGACTGATAATTTCATAGTATTCTACCATACTATGAGCTAAACCTTTTATTCTAATTTTTAGTTTAGGTGTTTTTTTTTTTGTTGGAGTTTCACTCTATTGCTCAGACTGGAGTGCAGTGAATGCTCCCAGCCACTGCAGGCTCTACCTGCTGGGCTCCGGCAATCCTTCTACCTCAGCCTTCCAAGTAGCTGGAACTACAGGCGCGCGCTGCCACGCCTGGCTAATTTTTTTGATTTATTGTAGAGATGAGGTCTCGCCAAGTTGCCCAGGCGGGTCTTGAACCCGTGGGCTCAGGCATTCCACTCACCTCAGCCTCCCAAAGCGCTGGGATTACAGGCTGACCACTGAGCCTGGCCTAATTTTTGGTTTTTAAAGTTTTATTATTATTCCAAAAATCTTCATTCTGTAAATGATAGCAACCCCCAGAATGTGCCTCAATGCTACCAGGTAAGTTTGCCATACAGAATTTCAAACATTTGAAAATAGTTTTCCTGTATGTTATATAAATAAGTAATCTTTAGTCTAACCAGTTTATCTTGTTTACTTCTTCATATCATACACTAAAACTGCATCTTTATGTGAAACTACAAGTATGTTCCATGGCAGTTTTTAAAAATCTTTCTTATGAATATGAGAGAGGCATGTTACTGCATTCATTGAATGTTTTCATTGTTTGCAACTATCCACAAATCACTAGAGTCTTAAGTTATCATAACAGTCTTTTGTTCTCTTCAGTGGTTACTGCCTGTGACATGGCAGGTGCTGCCATGTATGAGCTGGTGAGAGTGGGCCACAGCGAGTTGGTTGGAGAGATTATTCGACTGGAGGGTGACATGGCTACTATCCAAGTGTATGAAGAAACTTGTATCCTCTTTGGTTCAATTTTCTGCCACGTTCTATATATCAGAATTTAAGGATTGAAGCCAAAGGTAGAAACAACATAAACCAATGACATTAGAAGCATGAAATGCTGGTGTTATGAAGAGACCTGATTTCTACAGGAGTATATTGAGAAAGGGAGAAAGGTACTACGAAGTAGTGCTCGTATTCTAAGAAGTTGGTATCATCTTCTGAACTTTCATTCCTTTTACTGTTTCAGTAGTTTAAAAACTTCAGGGAGAATCAATTGGAATAATTCTTCAGAGGGACACATACTGTAAAAGAAAGCATAAACAGAGTAACAGTATTGATTCATGTGGTTAAAATTCTTCAATCATAATTTCAGTCAGTTTAAAATAGTGAATTGGCCAGACACAGTTCATTCCTATAATCCCAGGACATTGAGAGGCCAAGGCAAGACGATCACTTGAGCCCAGGACTTTGAGGCTGCAGTGCATTCTAGCCTAGGCAACACAGTGAGACTCTGCCTCTAAATCAAGCAATCAATCAATAATAGTAAATCTATAATTAAAGCAGTCACCACTCTTTAATGAATAACCCAGAATGACTTGTTACATTACAGCTCTAGAACTAGGAAATCTTTCTATTGTTTGGTTATTATAAATTTGGCTTTTAAGCATGATATTTATTTTCATTTTCTATGGAAAATGAAGAAATAAAGGATTAGGCCTTGTGAAGAGAAGTCACTTTTTTAGGGGCTCATTTATATCTTTTGCTTAGTAGTTCTCAAGATAGGCATTAACTATTTGGGTATTTAATAAAGATGTATTTGGTACAACTTTTTTGCCATTCTAAAACACATGCTTGCAGGTAACTAATCTCTGAAGTACTGGGTGCTAATTTAAAACAAAATCTGAAATTTAAAAAATAAAATTAGAAGTCCTTGTAGCTATGAAATCATGACTAATCAAAAATTTTTTTTTTTTTTTGAGTTGGAGTTTCACTCTGTCACCCAGACTGGAGTGCAGTGGCCGCTCCCGGCCACCGCAGCCTCGACCTGCTGGGCTCCAGTGATCCTTCCGCCTCAGCCCTCCGAGTAGCTGGAATTACAGGTGCACGCTACCACGCC